TTCTGAGCAAAATGGCTCTCATTAAATTATATTATCAGTTCATTCAAATTATAATTCGCGAAGTTAAAGTCCGTGAGTCTGCCGATTATTACTTAAACGTGCGCGTTGATAGTCTTTTATTTTTCTTTTTTTATATTTTTTCTTGTTGAGTGTTTGTTTTTGGTATTAGAATCAATGCTCAAGAGGATAAGGCCTCTACAGGAGATCAATATCGTAAGTAGTTTTATACATTATATCTCAATTTATTCAATTTTTCAAATTTAACAACAAAATATAAAGTTTGATATTTGTTACAGATGCTTCATAGCAACACCAATTTTTTTGCATTTTTGGGAAAAAACAGTGGCTATAAAGCTAAAGAATGTAAGAATTTTTTATTATCTCTAACTTAAGATTTTGCTTTGCTTTTAAATATAAATTCTAATGTTTAATATTTTGTTACAGTCTGCACTTACCCTAAGCTTCCAAGGATCTTATGATGCGTCAAAAGCTAAAAATGTAAATACTTTAACATGTTGTATTTAAATTCTATTTTTTATAGTACTTTTCCTATCGAAGTCGAATGTAAAATTATAATTATAAAATATTTCTATTAATCCTAAATTTTTATCATTATTAAACTTTAAATTTTCACAAATAACACTATATCTTTAGAAACAAAATGTTTTATGTTTTTTAAGAAATTTTTCACTTCTACCGTGGGATTCTCAGTGGTATCTACTTGATGAGAGTCTTCACGATAACTTTCTCTGCTCGAGTGTAGCATCGATGATAACTTTCTTCACATCTATCCGGTGAGTCGCATGCATTTATGTTCCTCCGGTCACTCAATCATGTCGTAGGACGAAAGATCCGAATCGGCACGGATGACTGGTTGTATACGTAGAATTTTTGATGGGCATAGTGACCGCGGGTATTTTTTATACCCGTGAGTAGTAATATTTTTTCTGTTTTTTGCATATTGCGATTTTAACAATTAATTTTAATACGTAGATTTACAGTTATTACTTATAAAACCAAAGTATATTCAGTATAATTGTTTGGAAAAATAAAATGTGTATATGAATAGATAAATTTATAATTATTAATAGATATTTCTGGCGCGCTACTTGATCAACTTTGATCGTTTTACTTGATGTGGTTCCCCAATTTATCATTGTTAAGTATAGAGTGCGCTAAAAAACCACTGATTTTTTAGTATGTCGGTATTTCAGTGCACGAAGTTGCATATGATGTGAGATCTATTGATATACCTCATCACCGACGAGTATATGAATAGATATTGCATTTTACCACTAACGAAGTATATGTGACCTTATCTATGATTGAACTTATTCTATACAGAATCGGTAATATTGTAAATGATATTCTAGTGTTCCTGAAATATAGAACTGAAAAATGCATGGAGTACTAGGTCTATTTTATATCTAATCCATGGTATAATTTTATTTTATACTATCGACCTATAGAGGGCACCACTTAAAAGTAAACATATTTAAGGTTAAGTCTCATTATTCAGATAAATTACACGCGCAACACGTGTTTTGAATAACGTGATAAAGTAAATTTTATAAAGATATTTTAAATAACTTAAATTTAAAGTAGGTATTGAATAATTAATTGCATCTAACTTTATATTTTCAAATTTATTAACTACTTCTAGTCCCTCTAGTCGATAGTTTGAGGTTATATTGCTATTAATTAGTCTTTCAAATTTTATTTTAATTTTATTCTACGTTTATTTAGTTTTAAATTTTTTAACATTTTTAAAAATTTTTAAAAATTTTTAACATTTTTATGTTCACAACTGAAAACAAAGTGTTTTATTTTTAATAAATAAAATTATTAATTCTGCACTTAGTACTCATCTAATGCATTTTTCAAAATAATTCTAGATAAAAATAGTGTAAATATATAAAAACAAAATGGCAAAATCATTGCGTAGTAAATGGAGGAGAAAGTGTAGAGCAATCAAAAGGGAACGTTATGGAGCAAAAGAATTAGAAAGATTAAAAAAAACATTAGGTATTGATGAGAATGGAACACAAGACATTGAAATGAATGAAATATCAAAAATTGCTACAGGTAGGGCACATTATTTTTTAATATGCCATTATTCTTGTATAACAGTTCCAACTAGATATTATTTTTGTCTCAAGTTGTTGATGCTAAAACAATAAAAGAAAGTGAACAAGCAAAAGAAGATGAACAAGCAAAAAAAAATGAACAAGCAAAAGAAGATGAACAAGCAAAAGAAAATGAACAAGCTAATGATAACACTGAAACAAATGGTGAGACAATGGATGTAGACACAGATGGAAGGGTATATAATAAAAAAACAATGAGAGATCAATATGGTAATTATCCTCTATGGATGAACAAACGAAAAATTGCAAAACATAAGAAGGGTAGAGCTAAATCACAGAAAGGAAACTTTAGGTCACATAAAAGATTAACTAGGAGGCAGAAGAGAGGAATGAAGCAAAAGTAGATAAATCTATGTGTAATTGGAATAGCATTGACTAATGCTATTCCCTTTTTTATTTGTAACAAAAATAAATTCTATTGTAGGAAAATGTTATATTACTCTTCTTGCAAATCTGTGATCTTCAAAATCGATAAACATCATTCTAGTTTCTATATTTTATTACAAAGCTGAATACAGATAATCACAAACATTGCTTAAGTTATAGTTTTATTATACTTTAAAGTCTACTACATTCTAAAATATCATAAAAGCTAAAGAGATGGCAGTGATAGCATGTTTTTTTTTTCTTATAAATATTATATCTATTGAAAATGTTCAACATTTTGACACTCTTCTCGTTTGCTGTATTAACGTTAAAACTTCATTGAGCCACTGTTCATTGGTATTGTTGATCTGCAACGCAATCTTAAACGATTTTCCAGTTCTAATACTCTATTTGTTAAGTGTTGCATTTTTCTTGTTTCCAATTCGTATTCTCTTAATTTGCTCTTCATTTCATATATCTCCTGCTGCATCAGTTGCTACAAACAGAATTACATTTTCAAACATGTATTTTATAAAGTATTAATAAAGTGACTACTAACCACATTTTCGATAGATCTCTTCATTTCATTGATGGTTTCAACAACCGATGCAACCTTGACGGTCATTTCCGTCGTTTCTGTGTCTCTCTTCCTTCCTTTCGCGAATTGCTAATAATACAAGTTATTAATTCATTATCCAAACATTTCTTTATTGTAATTTTTACTTATGTCACGTAAATTTATAATTATTATTCATCATATAAATTTTTCCTCATTTTAACGAATTATCCATTTTTAAACATTTTCAAATGTTTTTTTAATAAACAACAAATCGTTGTCCCATCACAAATTGTAACGTAATATAAATGTAATAGTGACATTGCAATTTGAAATTTTCTGGTATTAACTAATCATAAATATACTATAAGAATCTAAAAAGTTATGATGTAACAAGTCTCTAAAATATTAAAAAAATCACAATCAAGTCAATTCCCCATTCAGTGTCATCAAAGTTGGAATCGAATTGTTTCTCAGAAATCCATACATGCCTACAACGATCAAAATAAAACTAAAAGAAAGAAATTCTTCACTGTATCTCTCCTTTACAAGTGAAATAACACGGCAAGCCATTGTCCGGAATACCTTTTCGAGTTTGGTGAGCCTTTTCAGGATAATCTCGTAGTCCTGATCGAGGTCATCGTCAGCTACTTCGTTTTCCGTATCTGTAAATGGAAGTAATTGCGTCCAACTATAGAACTCGAAATATGTTTGCATTTGTATAGGCAAGTGAGAGAGAAAAAAAAAAAGAGGCAGTGAGAAAAAATTTACAATTACGAACCATGCGATGAAACTGTCGGACGCTTCGTCGTCGTTGTTTCATGGAAATCATTCTCCAAGTCTCGAGCCTCGAACGCAGTATCTTCGGTGTCTGAAAAAAAAAAAAGAAGAAGTTGAAGCAATCTGATCTGAGAGCAGATCCTCAAGCTTGAAACAAGGATCGCTGTTTCCGGTTTTTGTGCAAAATATTGACACTGGGAACACGAAGTACGATTACTACTTATACTACTCGTAATATGTAGTAATATGATAGTTTTTTTTATTGAAAAAAAATTTAATCTTGCAATAAATTTATTCAGCGATTACCTCTATTTTGATGAAGTTAGTGCCTTTATCTTGGTGGTTAAATTCTATTTTATAATTGAATCTAGTATAGTAGTACATTGTAGTACTTTCATATTTCAGTAAAAATAGATAGTTTAGGTTTAAAGTTAATGATATTTAATATAAAAAAAGAGATCAGGTTTGTTATTAAGGATATTAAATTAAATTCAATTCAATTTTTATACAGGAGAATTAAAATGTTTCTTCTCTATCTACTAATTACGAATGGAATTTTTAATTTTATAATTTCTTATTACATAATTAGCAACACCTAATGTAGCTACTTATTATAATATCCATTTCTCAAACTTCATTACGTTTAACAATTATTTCCAATTAGTATATGTTTACTATCTTATATTCTGCAAGGCATATATCTTTCAAGGCACATATCATTCAAGCTTAAAATTCAGGACGGTTTACCATATTTCATTCTGTTCTCGGAAACTCGGCCAATTTCTAGCGATCTTGAACTTGACCATCGACAACCATTTTTCTCTCGCACAGTCAAACCTCGTGTAAATAGCAACGAAGTTCAAGATCAATGGGAACGGACGCGACGAAACGGCGTCGTTCGTTCGGTAAAAATAACACGGTCGTTCGTTCGTTTATCTAAAATTCGAGAACCTAGAGCGAAGAACCCAGAACAACAAGAAGCCATTCAAAAGCTTGTTGTTCGGCTGGTGCCTAACAGCGTGTGAACAGCATTTAAATGGATTGAAAAGTGCCAGTTCGTGTATTTCTCGATAGCGTATTATTCACTGTCAAGAAATCTGGAAAACAAATTCGTCTTTGACGGAGCCGAGTAGAATTTTCCCGACAATTACTCACCATTCTTTCGACAAGACTGGCCGTCTTTTTGTAGTTGGAAACCGGGCCTGCAGTGGCACTCGTAGGTTCCGGGTAGGTTTCTGCAGAGTTGATCGCAGGGCTTCTCTGTCATGCATTCGTCGACATCTGTAACGTTGGTGGACAAGTTATGCTAATTCGTGCAAAAATTAATTGCATAAACGTGACAGCTGCACCGCACGGCATCGATTGATCCATCGCGAAGTCCTTCGGTTTCCGGTCAGCGGTATTGCGCAAATTTGCCGCAATGCAACGCTACCATTCGACGAATTTCTCGAAATTGGCTCGAGGAATAAATTACTGGCAGTGTATGTAGATCGGTCGTTAAGTTAGCGAATGATCGAGAATAAGTAGGGAAAGGTGGGGATCTATGCCATTTAAAGTAACTTGCTTGTTAATTAACATAGGAAAATGAGGCGAGTGTAAGGAAAATTGAAATACATGTTTCTTCAATATTTAATATATAGAAGAGACACACATTCTAACTACTAGATAAAGCGATATTTAATGTTTCATTCCATCTATATATTAACTCAAGTATTGATAATTTATTGCATATAATACGTCATAGATACTGTTGCATCAAAGCAAACAATTATGTTGTTTCACGATGATACGAAAGGTCCACCATAATATTCCAAACATCCCTCACAATTTTTATATTAAACTAAATGAAAGAAAATCGTTGTCAGCGTCAGTAATCTTTTATTTCAATTCTTAATTTTACGAATAAAATGAACGCATGATTGGATCGTGAGGCTACGAGTGGGATTGAACAACATGGTCTATTGTAAAACCATGGAAGCTTCAAGGACCTCAGAGTGTGTTGAAAGCCCTGGTAAAGGATTTTTATATCGGATTAAGTGCGGCGTGCCAACACGACTCACCTCGCCGCGGTAATTAGAACGTCCGTATAGCTTAATGAAATCGCTCGTAAATCTATCGAAAGCAGCCTAGCTGTCGAATACCACAATACGTTCGGTCAGCACGGTATTCAGCGCGATGCTATCGACCTGCGTATCGGACTGCGTCAATTTAATTACGTCTAACGATCTTGGCTACGAGGACTTGGCTTCCTAGCCACGATGAATATCGATCGTTGATATTTTACGATTTATCGGCGCTCGTTGTTCGCATCATTAGCTACGCGGAGGTTCGTTTACTTCCATCGAGCACTCGGGGGCCTCGTTTAGATAAGCAGCGACGAACGCTCCTCGCAATTGTGCAGTTTGCAACTGAAATACGTGAAAATTGAAGCAATCGAAAATGCTTCGGCTTTTCAGTGAGAATCGAAGTAAACGATGTAGTAAACAGTGATATACATAACAGTTAATTCGGAAATGTTTGATCTTGTGAAATTGAAATTTAATTCATACTTGAAATAAATTCAAATTGAGTAAAGTGACTGTATTTTATGAGAAGCTTATTTGTTATAACTATTGTCTAACTCAAAATCATGATCATATCGAAATACTTGAGCTTCGTAAAGAAATATGATGTTATCACTTAATTTAAAATTGGATGAATTTTCGGGGAACATTGAGTATTGAATTGATATTTATAGATATGATTTTCTAGTCGCGCGGAATACACATACAGTCAGACATGCCTGCAAGGAAGCTTAATGGAACGAAGTTGGTAATAAAATAGTAGAGTAGGAAAGGTGTTGGACACGTAGCGTTGATTAGCATTGGAAATGATAATTTAGAGTCGATTTGTATTCGTGTTAGACATTACCTGTCTGGCACTGGTTGCCGGTAAATCCTTTGGGACACGTGCACTTACCAGGAGAAGTACACGTACCTCCGTTTAAGCATGGGGAAGGGCAGGCAGCTGAAAGGCAATTAAATTCACGTACAGATAACAGATTGACACGCAATTATTCATTATCGACTAATAAACATTTTGCATGTCCATAAAAGGTTTTTACTCCGTATCTCACAATTAGACTGATGAAGTCGTTAGTGTCGTGTCGCATTTCACAATCTCAATAAAAGCACTAAAGCAGCAAAAGTAAACGAAAATGAACAGCTACATTTTTCAGTGATTCGATTAAATTAATTTGAAACAGTTTTCAAAACTCACGTTTATTGCATCCAAAACTCAGGTGAGTCGCCTGTGTCCATCCAGGGCAGCACAAGAAAACGGAAGGTAAATCGGTCTTAACATTAAATATATTAACATACCTAAAAACAATGGGACTTTATCGTGCGGAATAATACCAATTCTAAATTCGTCGTGACAGATATCTCGTTTTCCAAAGAAATGTTTCTTTACCTGACTTGTCCATTTCGATGGTGATGACTAACAGTACTGGGAATCGATCTGGTGCAAACTCGTCTCCTGAAGCATGGAAATATAGAAAATAGCTTTATTTAGCAAGCAGGGAAGAATGTATGTTATTCCAAGAATTTCATATACAAAAGATAACGGTATTTCATACAGTGTTTAAAATTCGAGGACCAGGCTCTTCCTTGACATATTTCGAACACGCGTGACCCTACATTTGTTATTGAGATTTATGCTTGTGCGCGGCTATTGTCAAGCGATGACGAGGTGAAATTAAATTAATGAATCGATTGTTTCGATAGCGATCGATATGACACGGTACACGCCTTCATTTACATCTCGTCGAGTCGATATGGAAATGGAAATCGTTAAGTACGGGGAGGACAATTTCGTTTAGCTGCGTTTAAATTTCGAGTCAATAAATGCGCAGGTAACATACTTGGAAAAAGGAGCTTTAGGCACGTCGTAAAAAGGATGATTGTCTTCGTGTCATAAGGGATTATTCGATAGCTTCTGTTGTAACTGATCTGCTTTGACAGCTTTTATTACTCGCATCGTAATTCAACTGATTTCATTGTAATCGACTCAGCCGGTCTGATCGATCGACACACGCCCACGATTTCGATTCAGACGATTTCGAATGAACTCAGCAACGAATTCGTTTTATCCTGCGCTTTATATGCACTGTGAATTCCATGCTTCTATTTAAATGTATGAAGCTTTCTGATGTAAATCGCCTTCTCTATTTTGGACTTTTATCGGCCCTTCTGATACCACTTGGCCATCACATCGCGAATGATTAAACGATAAAAAGATATTATTTTGCAATCATGATTTCTATTCGAAAGTGGTATGGTATTTATATTATATTGAAGACATAAGTAAGGGAAATTTAACAAAACGTCACACAAGTTGTTTTGTTAAAGAATATCAGAGGAGTCTGCTTGTTAAAATTGATTCAAAAGACACAACATTATGATAAGTGCTACAATATTCAATGAAGTTTCTCTTTTTCCTCAGTGCTTGAATATCTCGCTTCGGTTTATATAAATGCGCGAGGATCATCCGTAATTGAACATTGAAACTTTCTTAGAGTGTCATTTACACTGGAAACTGTCGACCGGTTTTAAGTACAATAACTTAGCTCGCAAAGTGTCCTTGGTTAAGGGGTATTCACTTCTAGTACTTGCGTTTTCACTGCCATCAACCATTTCATCACCAATATTACCAAAAAGAAAGATATCCTTGGTTTATATTATGTGATTATATTAATACAATTCTCAAAACGATTTTTCAAACATACTTCATTTCTTATCGACGTATATAAATTGAAAAATTGAAATTTTTACGGTGATTTTTATAGTAAACGCGATATAATCCCATTTATCTTTTTTTTTTTTCGCTGAATTTTATCCTGTTAATCTTAACCTGTTGAACGAGTTGGCTCGTCATTCAAATTGGATATAATATCTAATATCTCTCGGGTATGATAATTTCTTGACCTAACTGCAATTAACTTCTTTCTACGGATTTTTAACTCTACAATTGCAGAAGAGTTTCTGGTTAGGTAGCCACACGATCAACAGATAAAACTTGTCGTGCTCTTCCTGTGTAATCGGCGAGTATCAACGTGAAAAGTGGAAGATCGGACAGTTGCAATCTGGGACTCGCTGAAATCGCTACTTTCTCCGGACGTCTCTGGGTAGAAATTACACAAATGGAAGAGGACGGGGCGCGATTCAATGCGCATGAGGAGAGCAGCGCGTATCGCGCGCATAATTGGGCGACGAGAGGCGATCCTCGCGCCGCGAGGAACCACTTCGTCATCGTCTCGAACCGCGAGAAAATTGCATCTTACCGTGTCGCTGTCATGTTCGTTGAAACGACGTTTACTGTCGCAACACCGATCACGCCGCTTCGCGTCCTGAGAGAGACGCCGACTTTTCATGCTCCGCGCGCCATTTTGTTCGTGACGAAGATATGCCAAGGGCAGGAGGAAGTTGCCTCAAACAAGAAAGTTGCTCTCGTTGAAAAGAGAGCCTCAAACCGAGGGGAAAAAGTTGTTCTCTATTTACAAGACGAGCGTCGTCCGCTGCCTTGAAAATTGAATAAATTAATTGCGTTGGAAGATATAATTTCATAATTAGCTAAGTTTAGTTGCAATCAGTGATTTCTTTGAATTACTAATTATATGATATTTGTACTAAGTTTGTACTAATATTTACCTGGCAAACTCTTTGCCTTTTCTCGGTTTTTCCAAGTTGTTATGATCTCTTCCTGGATAAGTGTTGCCCAGATCCGGCAGGTGTTTAGAACAAAATGAGGGCTTTGAACGACGCCGGGGATACCCATAAAATCTGTCTGTTACAGACGAGTCCGTATTTGCCTACAGATTGTGTATGCGAGGAAGGATCAAAGGGATTAGCGCGGCAGGTGATCCAGGTTAGTGAATCGTGTGCTCTGTCAGACAGGTGTGTCTGACGTTGGCTCATTCCCCTTGAGCCAGGCCGTGGCTGGATATAATTTTCGTCATGACGGAGCACATTGTTCTCGCGTCGACTAAAATCAATCTGCTCTCTTAGAAACCGTGGATTCCATACCGATTTACAAACAGTTTATTTTTAATTCTACATTTAGTTTATTTTTAATTCTACATGGCAATTGCTTCTACATAGTGTCAGAATAAACATAAATTAGAAAAGTAGAACTGGAGTAGAAATGAATCGGAGTAAGCAAAATAAAATATCGATTTTTGTAAAATACAATTAAAAGATATAAGTTGCAGCAGAAGTTATTTCATTTTCTTTAAGCTTTCGAAGTTGTTAGCCTCGTTTAATCTCATTTAATCTCATTTAACTTTGCATGTGACGCGATAAGTTTCCGTGCAACGATCCGCCATCTCTATTCCCTGTAATTCGGAAAAATGAATGTCTTCGCTGTCGCGACGAACACGCGTCAAATCGTTCCTAGAGCGTATTCCCGTTGCCAGAAGAATCTCTCGGAACACGTTGCGACGAAGGTTTAGATACGGTTCGGAGGACATTCGCGTGGGAATACTGGTTCGGATGCTTTGGTGGCCAGTACTGAACGTTGCGCTCAGTTGATAACGTTCAACGTGCTCGACATTGAACGAGAGAAACGAAAAAGTTAAACGCACGTTCACGAAAATAACTCGTGTAGGTCGTAGCAACTAACTTGTACTTGCTCCAACTAATTGCACGATTGACGGATTACATTGATTCATTCGTAATAAGCGCAGCAATCTTTTATTCTTCTAAATATTATTCACTCTTCGTGCAAAGTTCGACATCTGCTTTTAATAAAAGTTTTAACTCGGCAGAGGACTAGGCATCTACTTGCACGCAGTTGTGTGTTTTAGAAGCTACGTTCTATTTGTCTCGCGTCTCTTTTGCGTTAAAACATCTGCAGAATTTTTGATGAAAGGAAGTTAAACAGTTTCGTCTACTCTGCTAGTAGTAGTTCAGCGATTGAACTTTGACAATTGGAATTTAAACATTAAAACGTAGTCAGGATCGATCAGATTGCAATTTCAGCTGGCAGAATCTTTCCATTAATTCGTAGAGAATTTTCTGACATGAAGAGTAATTAAAATTCAACGCACCGTTCAATTTCAGTTCTATGAAAATACGCATATACTTGTAACTGTTATGGACTATTACATAATGTACGAAGTACGAACGTAACTCGAAAGCGTTTCACTTTTCATCGTGCGGGCCTAAGTTCATAGAGAGCGAGAACTTCAAACTTTCTCCGTTAGCTCGGGAGAGAGAAGGAAAAAGTTGAGGAAATGTACGAAGAGGTCGTGTGTAATAAAATTAATGTGGATTAGCGATATGGAGCGGGCGAAGGCGCCGTCGCGTGATACCGCTAGTAAGCTTCTTCGAGGTGATAAATTTTCAATGAATTACCGCATTGACGGCTCGCGTGTCCGCGTCTCTCCTTAAAGGTACTTCCGAAGCCTTAACGGTGATCTCGCATGTTTCCTATTTCGCAGCGTCGAGTTTTGGCGGCCATTCGTTATTAAGCTCGCCCAGCTGATTATCTGTTGCTCGCCAGCAATATTTTCACGACGATAGGTGGACGATAGGTTCTGTGAAATCAGACTTTCATTGGATCGGTTGATACGTCACATAGATCGAGGAATATGGAGATCCTGATCTCGAAAGAAGATATTGAAAATACGAATTTTTCTGTCCGTACAAGATCTATAAACGTGCGACTTTCGCGGGCAACTACTGTACATTTGATTGTAGTGTAAAAATTGAAATTAATTAAATTCTTCCTTTAATAAAATCTAATAACGAACCAGTACCTGTTATTTAGCCTGCTTTGTAGAAATATTAATTTTTCTGTTGTATCGAAAATATATTTTCATCCTTGAGACTTGAAGGCTCGTATTGTCGAGAAAAAGAGCTCTCAGAACACGGTTTCAGTTAGTCAGCAATTATCAGACACGTATTATCGCACGCGTCATCACATATATACAACGTGGATATAGAATATGTGGCTGCATTAAAGATGTACAACAAATAAGATCACCTCCCCCCTCCCCTCTCCCCCCGAGCCGGTTGATACATCGACATTACGAGAATCAGAAGAAAAATTCGAGTAACACATCGCGTACATTATCGGTGGTGAAATCTATATGTTCGGTCGGCTAGTACCAATTAATCTCGCACCTTCGATCGATCTTTAATTGAATCATAAATATTCAGGCTCAGTTCGCTTCGGTAATACTCGTAAAACAGTGCGCGTAATTACAGATACACAGGGCGAATTTTTAACCTGTGTGAGAAACCGTGTGTTATCGTTGTACGCTGGTAAACTATCGTCGCGCGATGTCGCGAACGTGATAACATGTTTTGCACGCTCGTCTCGATGTTCCCGCCGGTGATAAATATTGACTCTTTATTGTATGGTTTCGTGAACTTTACTCCATCGATTCGGCGACAGTGACATAGAAAAAGGTTGACGACTAGTGGTTCAAGGTTTTAACGAGCTAATGTAGGTAGATTTTTTAAAAAAATTTTAA